TTTAAGTTTGGCCCAGGATTGAAAAATTGTGTTTTACGGAAGATAAAGCATTTCACAGCTTGTCCTTTTTTTTATTCAACTTCAACATCTCATTGAGAATTTTAATTGTATGAAAATATAATTTCCCAATCATAGAATACAAACAAGATGGGGTAGGTAATATCAAAGTTGACAAATAAAGGAACGACAACTTCACAGCAGTATTATCCCATCTCAAGCTCGGAAAATAGTCTAATCCGCCTGGAAAAATAAACGATCCCCAAAGGGAAAAAGTAATAATCTCTGTGACAACTTACGAAAGAGTGAAAGGGGGAGCAACTCGAAATAAAGCCTCATCAGATTCTCTGTTCCTTAAAACTTTTTGACTATTTTGCGGTCAATTCAAAATTGCAGTGAAATACTGGAGACGGTTATAAACAATGAAAACATTTAAATTTAATACTAGTAAACAACCACAGGATTAACAAAGGTAAGACAATACGTAACCATTGTGCTATAATCACTGGACGTACCAATGCAATTATTTTAATTGGTCACTCGAGGTACACAACATAAGTAAAACTTATACTCCACTCACGCGTAAACAAGCAACCCACCCAAAAAATACACAATATATCCTTCATAAGAAATTGATCAAGAATCTTGTGGAGTCTCGAATCTTGTGGGAGTATCAATTCCCATCATGCAGCAAAGCCCCGATATCAAAATCACAAGTAGAACGATTCCCTGAAAAGTTTTCATTTTAAAGATGCACTCTGACTGCAAGGAAACCCACTATAACGTTTGAATAATTTGCCGAAACATGCATGAGATTATGAGAAGAAGAGTATAAGATCCACATTTGGAACATTTCAATTACAATTTATGAGCCTAGTATCTATGTGATCCCTGAGTCATTTTTCTTCAACAAATCATAGATGCATTTGAACAAAAATTAACTTACCACTAGAATTCCCTCTAACAGAGATGACTTAATCTGGCAAACTCCATCACAAGCCGTGGAATTAGCTGATGCATTTCCCAAGCCACCTTCAGCAAGAAATCTTTCTACCCCCCGATTTGAGAAATAACTAGAAGCTCTAAACGGATCTGAGATGTAGAGAACACTGTACTTCACACCAAATTGACTCACAGTATTCAAAAGTCGAGAAAGAATGCTGCCTGCATGTGCGAACAAAATGTTGTAGTCTGATTTCCAGGCTCAAATGAACAATAAGCTCATAGATAATGATAATATTTTAGTTTAAAGACAAAAAGAGGCAGAAGAATTTTCAAACACTTTTAGCATTGTGTTTAGAAATCTTACTCTCAGAATGTGGTTGATCAGAGTCTTCTGAACCTCCAGGGCACAACACAATCAGATCCCTACGTCCGTCAGATTTCTCGATCCTTGCATTCAAGTAGTCCTACCAGTAAATTATTTAATGACATTCAGTAGGACAAAATAAAAATAAAACAATTATATGTGAGATGCCATCAGTAGTACATACATGAACTGAGTCAACATCGTTCAGATTATCGAAGTTTTCACCCTCAACAGAACACGATCCAACAGTAGCAATACGGCCAATCCCAAACTCACGATGACAAGTATTAGACAACTCCGAAATTAGAGAGCTTTCTACGGCCACATTCTCCTCTCCAGCAGCAATGTAAGGAAATACCAAAGAGAGACTGGAGTTCGAGAAAGAGTCCTATGGATAATGCAACCATACATTAGTTCAAAATCAAAAGGTGCTACATGATATGATGTTGAAATAAATTCAAATATAATATAACAAGGGCATTTGAGTAATTAACCTTGAGCAAGTCTACAAGAGCACGACCGACATTTGAGGGTCTGGATAGATCCAGTGATTGCAACTGCACAATGAACAACATATTTCAAGCTCCAGGGGAGAGAAAGGAAGATAGTATAAGTACAACAATAAAATTATTATTATATTAATAATAAGCACGATATGTATCTTAGTGCTTCTTCGGATACAAATCAACAAACTGTAGTGAAATTTGCCACCCACGTGTCACTAAAAGAATCTTTTGCAAATAAGCTTAGTGAAGCATCAAGCCAAGTATAAGTATTCTCTTATTATCTAAAGATCAATTTGCTACTGAAAATTTGTGAATCTCGCTCGTCAAGTATTTTTATTTAATGTTGATTAGTAACTCCTCGATTAGGTAGTAACATGTTTCCAATCACTTTGGTTTGGATATTAAAAAGAAATCATTCACACATCCTTAAAACATCCTTAAAAACTTTTTGGATAGAATGGGCGAAAAAGAAGTTTTCATGACGTGACCATCTATATTAATTAAAGTTAGCATGACATGAAAAAGATATCATAAAAAAATAACAAATAATTCAGAGGACAGGTTCATTCATGTTAAATGTCATGTAAGTTACGGTAAGGTGTTCATTTTGTTGCAGAATGAAATGGGGATAAAATAATAATACCTCAGACCCAACAAAAAGGAATGCAAAATTCTTAGAGTGTTGGGCTTCCTCTCCTGAGCACTGAATACAACAAAAAAATAGAAGATTATTTAGTTCAAATGAAAAGTAATCACTAGCCTGATGCATCTAATTTTCATGCTAGTTCCAAACGACCATCTTTTTGTACACAATTGCTTCAAACATTTAGAGATCTCTTGATTCTAGGATAAAACTGCTTGGGAGAATTTCTATCCAGAAAACATGGGCACAAAATCGAACAGTCAAATAATGACACACTTACTAACAGTTACAATTACCAATTTAAAGTGTCCATACTTCATACATTATTATCAGAATTTTTTTTAAAAAAAAAAATAAACAAAGATATACCAAATATTCCCGCCATCCACCATCTGTCAATGCGGACTTGGCCATTTCTCTTGGAGAGAGAACTCTATAATCCACAATTCCTTTCTTTCTGCCACAAGATTATCAATAACAATCAACTCAACAAGTTCAAAGATAAGGAATTGCAAGCATAAGATACCAAAAAATTTGCAATGGTTGGCGGGTGTACTAGGGGATCAAAGATAAGATTATTTGACAGTGTGATTGAATTGGACGCACAGATGATGCACATCTTGGGCTACAATTTACTAGCATTCAATCTAAATTGACAAATTCCCCTATGTAGTACTAATACACCATAATTCAGCTGCACGAAAGATCAAGTACACGAAATAAGTAATATTAAAATCGGAAAACAATACGATTATTATTATTACCCATCTAGATTAGGCGACCATAGAAATGCCGGGCCAGTGGAAAACGTGAGTCCCAAAGGCAGCTGAGCCGTCAGAACAAATAAAATCGCCGCTAATGCCACCGGAGCCTTCGCCATAATCCTTCTGAAAGGCCGACGACCAGATTATAACCGCCCAAGTAAGAATTGGAATGCGATGAGTCGATAACTGTCTAATTCAACGCACATAAAATAAGGAGTTAGGAGAAAAACGCTTATACTGATCGATAATTCAACAAATTCCTGAGTGCAGACCAGATCTGATATACGATAATTAGGAAGAAATGCAAAAGAGATTGGGAAAGAAGGAGAAGATTAAGATCCCTTTTCTCACCTCAAGTTTATCGATGCAAAGAAAATTGCAGAGCCCACGTTTTGCTAGTTTATTCCAATCGGAATTTTGCGGAACGAGTGATGCTGGTCCAAGAGGTCAAAATACTCTACGTCTAGAATAATTAGATATTTTTTAGACAAGAGTTTTATTATTTTTCCTTCGATAGATTTTTTTTTTTTTTTTGTTTTTCTAACGACAAACTTTGAATTAACTCCAAGGCTGATATGGGATATTATACCTAAGGGAGTAAACCGGTCGAATAAACCACTTGGTCGAGCGAGATCTGAATGGCGAATAGGGTGGTTGTAGTCAAACGTCATAGAATTAAGAACATCTTGACTGGAAAACAACTTAAAGGAGATTTTGATACGAGAAGAGTAGGTGGAGTCAGAGCCCTCGAATAGCCTGGTCGAAACTCAACCTACAGCAGCAAGTCGACCCAGAACTGGTTGAGCCTTCGACAAGTCAGGGGAATCAAACCCCCACGTGATGAGGACACGTGGCAGGGCCTGATTGGCCTATACCTCATAACTGTCTCTGGCACACCCCTAGTGTGTGTTGTACGACCGGCAGCTCAGGCTGTTTAAGCAGCTGACTCAGCATTTCCAGACAGCTCCTAGAACAGGTACCTCACCCCTATGTATAGGGGTGATACTTGCGATTTTAGCCATTACGTTCATTATACTCTTTGAGAGTTCATCTTCGACATATACTCATTTAAGTATCAGAGGCTCTTCACCGGAGAACCCCTTCGGTGTGGGAGTTTTTACAAGTACGAGGCGTTCTACCAGCGAGGAGAAGTACGAGCAAGCCGTTTCCAGCCGGTCGGAGTGTTCTACATTACCGTTTTGCATCGTCTGTGGGACATCGTTTGAAAGGTTGTGTGCAGTGCTTGAGATCTGTTTCACCTATGGCGAACGAGGTTCTATCAAAAATTTGCAGCCGTCGTTCGATGAGACATGGACGACGATGCGACCGTTCGGAGTTGGCCTTCCTCCGGGCTTCTCTGGACTTTCTCAAACCTCGATGACCCCAACTTCTGCTCTTCAAGGTTTTGGGAGTTCATCGGCGGTTCAGGTGGTGGATGTGGGCTTAAGTCGGGCGCAAAAGGATCGAGCAACGCAAGGAGTAGTGTTGCCCGTACAACCATAGCCAGATGTGGCAGGAACTCAACCAGTGGGAGCAGTGGCACAAGTGGTGGCGCCACCGCGAGCGGACGTGGAGCACCTTGATCAATAGGTGGTGGCGATGACCAGAGTGGAGATGGAAAGGATGATGGCCAATGCGGCGACGCAGTCAGTGCAGCAAGTTACGAACAACACTTCACATGTCGCTACTACGCCGACCACGGTGATGGGTGTGCAGTAAAACACGGAGAAAGATGCGTTAAGCTTTGTAGGACAAGGAGCACCAAGGGATCGAGCGATGGAGAGGATGGCCGAGCGGTTGCGTCAATTGCAGGCCAAGGTGGATGGTAGACCAATGGGACGTGCTCGAGGACATCCATTTTCGAGGGAAATTTTAGCAGCCCCTTTGCCAGTCAACTTTAGAGAAACTAGCTTGACGAATGACGGGTCGACCGACATGTGAGGTTCGAGAACATGGTAGCGTTACATGGGTATTCTGACCCTTAAGTTGCAGGGCATTTCTTTCGATCCTTAAGGGAGGAGCACTCGATTGGTTCCATCAGCTTCCCTCGGGATCGATAAGGGATTTCGAGGACTTTGCAGAGAAACTGGTAAACCAGTATGTGAGTGCAGTGGCGCATGAGAAAACTTGTTTGACTTTGATGGCGATGAGGCAAAGAGAAAATGAGTTGTTGAGGAAGTATGTTGCCCAATACAGCCAAACGTTCTTGGAGATTCCATCAGCCTCAGACGAGGTCAAAGCTGGCGGGTTGATCAGAAGTTTACGAGTTGGGCCTTGTCGATTTTTTCTGGCCAAGACCCCAGCTCGTACATATGACAAGGTGCTGAAAAGGTACAAGAAGTATATCAATTTGGATGAACCGTAGACTGAGTTTGCTAAGTTGGAGGAGTTGGCTCGACCTGACCCAAATAAAGGGAGGGGGAACTCGCCCAGGAGACCTAGGGCGCCCAGACCTAAGTCTCCCGGTCGCAGCACACTATTTTGTGCCCGGTCGCAGAGTGCTGCCCAGTGGCGACTCGCAGCGAGCAGTCCAATGCAAACCGTAGTGCCCAGGCGACCCGTGCAGCCCGGAGCGCCCAGACGACCCGTGCAACGAGCTATGCCCAGGCCAGACCCATGCAATCCAACAGACCTAAGGCTAGCCCAGCTGCAGTACCTAAGTCAAACCTTAAATTTATTTTGAAATCCAGTTTTTCGAGCCTTAGTCGAGCCATGCTTATATTATTCGAAGTTTTTTGAGCCTTAGTCGAGCCATGCTTATATTATTCGAACCTTTACCCGATCCTAAAAAATTAATTAAATTAATTAATTAAGTTAAGAATTCATTATATTATTTCACAAGGTTATCAAAACCGGACCGGACCGGCCGGTTCAACCGTCACAAGGTTATCAAAACCGGACCGGACCGGCCGGTCCAACCGGTTGAACCGAGAACTAGTCAGTTCACCGGTCCGGTTCTATGGAAGAAACCGGTTGTCAGTAAAACCGGTCAATGACCGGTCAAACCTGTCAAAATCAGACAAAACTGGCCAAAAACCGGTCGATTCAACCGGTCAAATAATTTTTATTTTTTTTTGTGGTTACCGATGTGGGACAAGATGTAAGAATTCTAAATTTTCAATTGTAAAGGTAAAGCCACGCGTGGAAGGAATTTCTTTTCCCTTTTACCTGGACGTGGAAGGAATTTCTTTTCTCATATCCCATATTTATTTCTTTTTATTTTATCGCCCAATGTGGGAGTGTGAGGAAATATTTCTTTTTTTTTTCATATTTTTGTACTATCATTTTATTGCTTAATCTATATATGGTGGGAATAACCTTTTAAAAAATAAGTAAACTATGTTTAATATTTATAAAGTAATATATGTAAAATATCAATAAATTAAATAACTTAAAAATTAAGTTAACTATATCTATGAAATGTTATATATATTTAAAAATATCAATAAATTACATAACGGTCCAACCGGTTCAACTACTGGTCGGACCAGTGAACCATTGAACCAGTAGCTTGACCGGTCCGGTTTTGATAACCTTGTTATTTCATTAAGAAAAATATTATATTTATATTAGATAAATTTTATCATATAGATTACGAGGAGTCGAGTCCTCAAAGAGCACATTGAGCATTTCATCGTTCATTCCGTAATTAAGGTGGAGATTTCTGTGCCACATTTTTGTTACAGTTAATCGCATGATAGGATCGTTGTGGTATGGTATGTGAGATTTGCCGTCCTTCGGGGTGTGAGTTGGGTTTCAGATTTATCATGTGCATGCTATTATTGTGATATATGTTATTAACTTGAATAATTATTGCAGTTTATTTTCTCACTGAGTTGTTGATGTTCACCCCTTATTATTATTTTCCCACTTAATTAGACTTATTATTATTCATTGTGTTTTGGTATACATGACATTGATATTTGAGATGCTTTACTATTATTATTGTCTTTGATTGAGAAATTGGTTTTTTAGCATGTTTGAGTATTGAGAATAGAAAAGCTGCATGTTTGTTTATGGAAATTTTTTTAAAAAAAATTCACATTTTAACTCAATTATTTTTTTTAACTCAACCCCACTATCATCAATATTATTAATATAATTAAATAATGTCAATCAATCATTCATACACACCACATCAACTTTAATTCACTATTCATCCACTCACATTATTTTAACTAACCATCACTTCAACTATCTCTCTCCTACTTTTACATCAAATCAATTTTAACTATTTTATTTTAAATATTATTTTAATATACCCACGAACAACTAACCATACAACTTTTTAAAAAAATTAATCAAACCAAAACCAAAAATTCAAACAAACTAAAAATTTTCATAAACAAACATGCTTTAAATTCTCACAGTCATTTGAGCAAGTTATTCGAGTTAAGTTTCAATATTAAATAAATTCCGTTAATTTAGAAAAAAAAAAGGGTTTCACTATAGTGCCTTGTGCGACAGGAAATCTTTGAAAATTTGTTTTAAGTACGATACTTTAACTTCTTCTTAAACTTGTTGTTAACACAATTAACATATAATTATGTGTTACTTAATAATCTAGTATGTTCCAAAAAAAATTTTATCTTTAGTTATTTTTTCAAATAAATATATAATAAAATGTTAATATATTTTTCAAATAACTATTTTATTTTAAATATTATTTTAATATACCCACGAACAACTAACCATACAACTTTTTAAAAAAATTAATCAAACCAAAACCAAAAATTCAAACAAACTAAAAATTTTCATAAACAAACATGCTTTAAATTCTCACAGTCATTTGAGCAAGTTATTCGAGTTAAGTTTCAATATTAAATAAATTCCGTTAATTTAGAAAAAAAAAGGTTTCACTATAGTGCCTTGTGCGACAGGAAATCTTTGAAAATTTGTTTTAAGTACGATACTTTAACTTCTTCTTAAACTTGTTGTTAACACAATTAACATATAATTATGTGTTACTTAATAATCTAGTATGTTCCAAAAAAAATTTTATCTTTAGTTATTTTTTCAAATAAATATATAATAAAATGTTAATATATTTTTTTTTGGTACAATGAACCTTCCGGTTTCTGAATCCCTTAGGGGACCGACTAATCCGGAATCGAGCCGGGTAGGACCACAAGGGCGGCAAAGCTCTACCCTGAAGAGTTTTAACACAGCTGCATTCCCAGGGCTCGAACTCGAGACCTCTGGTTAAGAGGGGAGAGACCCCAACCATCTCACCCACGTGCTCTTGGGTTAAAATGTTAATGTATTTGACCATATAGTGTATAAAGCAAAGCAGGCAATTGGGTTGGCAAAGTCAAAGAATTACGCTGGCATGGAATCCATCTGCTTCAATTCCACGCGCTTGAAGCAAGACTAGAGAGAAGGCAGATATTAGTTGGTCCCTTCACTAAAAGTGGTCCACACACTCTCTCTATATATATCACAAATACATACGTACATAAAGTTGCCTTCAATTAAACCGTGTAGCTCATCGCTCATCCCTCCTTTATGTCATTGACTCATTGTAGTATAATTAATTCTTCATACTATAAAACCAACCCTGCACCGTACGTACCTCACCAACCCATTTGATGCTTTGATGACCCTCTTCCTGTAAGTCTCTACTCTCCCTTTCCCTTTCT